CCGAAACCCGAAACCCCAAACCCCCAAACCCCCAAACCCTAAACCCTAAACCCCTAAACCCCTAAACCCCTAAACCCCTAAACCCCTAAACCCTAAACCCTAAACCCTTTGCGGCTCCGACTCTCGCGGGGGTCCTCCACGGCCGTTGCCCCGCCCAAGCTCGCGTCGGAAGACTTTGCCTGCAATGTAGTGAGTCAGGTGAGTCTTCGTTTCCTTTGTACATAACACTGCTGCAAGCCCTATAGTCGTAGTCTGCACCCAGCGGTAGGGTATCATCTGCCACTGGCAGACCACGAACTTCGACAAGCCTTCGGGTTCCAAGTAGCTTCGGGATCTGATTGGACTGCTGCGGGTCAACTGGCAGTGAGGAGCTTGGGGTCCAGGTCAAATGCCATGGGCTTCGGGCGCAATGTTTACGGATTCTGGGCCAGCACATGCCTTGTTGGGCTTGCACGCGAAAGGTAAAAGGCTGCTCCACGCCCAGCCTTGTCTGCAAACAACTCGCATGTACTGAAACACACTACGTCTGTGTTACCAGTAGCAACTTTCTTTCGTAGTCCTAATCTAGTGCTCGACGCGTGTTTAAGGCAAGCAGCTGTCTGATGCAGCGGTCCCAAGCCCCATGGCCCAGGCAAGCGACAAGGTTTTGAGCACGGCTCACGGCAGGAGCGGCTCCTGGCACGAGAAGAATATTTTAGGGAAGATGTACAGGAGGCTCGCCTGCACATGCTCAGCCCTACTTACGTATACTTGAATACCCTACCACTCTACCTTCACACCATCGCAGGGAATCTGCTGGACGATCACATGCGCCGAATGGTGAAGTGCCACACTAGCTTGCGAGAAATGATGCTGTACCACGAGTATGCTTCTACGCTTCAGTAACCTTTTGGAGCGCTCTGTGCGTCTGCCAGGCTTGTTTCTCGCGCCTGTGCTTCGGCTGTCGCCAGTGCGGTGCATCAACTTCTATGCGAACTCCTCTCAGACCCTCTCAAGAAGATCACAAGAAGTGCCGGTGAACCACCATATCTTTGAGGTGCATTCACGAGTGGAAACTGCAAAAGAGCAGTTGTTGGCGGCATGCTGGATAAGGATGGATGAGGCGTCTGTGCATGAAAGGTTTGGCTTGCAAATGGATGGCTTCAGCCTCAAATGAGCATGCAGCACGGATCCTTCCAAAACGATACAATGCGGTGCAGGACATTCTTGGGTTCTGCATGCACTGCAAAGTTTCGGACAATAAACGTTATCTGGCCCAACGGCTTTGTTTGCGCATTTCTCGCAGAGCACAAGGGCTTGTCTGTACAGATATGACACAACTGCAAGCCAGAGTGGAAATGCAAATGCCAGAAACAGTTTCATGAGTCCCCCATGTTAGGAAAGGTGCATCGCATAGCCAATGGCAAGATGCATTCCCGGAAACGTGGCTCTGCAAAGCTAAAGCTGTACTAACAGCGTCATGGCTGCCCGGCTAGGCGGGCAACACAGCCTTACAGTGGAGGCGGCTCTGTTCAGAAAGTACTGCACGACCAACATCGGCCAAGCATAGCAAGACATAGAGCATTTACCGGTAAGGATCCCACAAATTCGCACAGTCTGGAAGGAACAGCATATGCTCACAGGGACTGCTTCAATGCAAATGCCACAAAGACACGCAGTGCAATGCGCTTGACCATAACGACACCACGCTTATGTCGGACATGCACGGCCAGAAAGGCATACAGCACGCAGCTCACGTAGATGCTTCGACCGGTCTCGGAAGTGTACATCTTTTACAGCTCTGACCATCCAGAAATCTTTCAACATTCTGCGAGATGATGCGAAACGATCTTGGCCTGCGATTCGTACGGCAGCACCACTGCCCGCCCGTCTCCCCAGCGGTACTGTTCGGTTGTATCTTGCCTTTGTTGGTGGTGCAGGCTTTTGGTTCACGTGGGACCTTTCTGTAGGCATTCAATTCAGCGTCCAGTAGCACTAGCGTCACTAGAATTGACTCTGACCTAAAGCTCGTCATGCACCTCAAAGAAATCATCCTCCCAACACCCTTTGAAGCGATGCGAGCGCCTTGCAAAGCCAATTTCGTGATGAGGTGGATTACCCTAAGATTCATCTCTTGAATCATGGAACGTCGTCGTCTCTCGGACCATTCGGCATGCACTTGCCTGACCCGGCGTGTGCGTTCTGCACATTGACAATGGAGCTTAACTGCTGTCTGGGACGCCGGCGGAAGATGCATTCGTCTGCCATTGCGGATGGCCTGGAAAAAGAAGCTGCCCACGACAACGTGTCCTACAAACATGCCGTCCCACCTTCTACTGCTATGGCTTGATTGTCAATGGCTTGTTTTGTCGCGACCTCAGTGCCCAAGACAGCACATCACAGCTGTGCCCTGCGCTGCTACCTGGTTCCTGCGAATCCTGCACTTTTCGCAAACAGTTTTAGCCTCACCTCGCACGTGGTAAAACTGCAGAGAACAAGATCGCGCACGATCAGCCACAGGCCGTGCGAGAACGTGCGGATCTGGATGCGCCTTCGGACTCCAGCTAGAACCTACACTTACCTATACCCCATCACGGATTGCGAAGGATGCTGTAAACACCGTTCTGTGTCCCACGATCATAACTTGGAAACCAACGCATGCTCGGCACCGCTTGTGGAAACAGCGTGCAACTTATGAATCAGCTTCGTGATGCTGCGGCTGTCGCATTCTCGACTGTAGGTTGCCCACGAGCCTCTTCGGCCTGGACACGGGGCTCCCCACTAAACACCATCACAAAATAACACAAAGCACCCAACACAAAATCTTCGAAGCAATCAGCTTTGATCTCCTTTGGACGGGTTCCGCGAAACAGCTCATCTGCTCCGATGAAGACTGTAAAGATCCAGTAGAATGCATAGCATGCATGCTCATGAGCATTGCTTCTGAACGGCTCGCTGCAGGGCATCGGATCAGGACCTGAACAGCCAATTGGCCGCTCTTTAAGCGGTGCTTCTGCCGCCTAGCCTTGTGGCGTGGACGTTCCTTCGCGGCGTCTCGCCTCCGTTCCCCGTCCCCTCTCATCCCACCGTAAGGCTCCCTTATCTCCAGGGTTTGCCGCCGTTTGCCGGTCCACGCACCAGTGTCTTGCCGGCATCCAAGTGTGCGTAACTCTAAGCTGGGGTACTCGCTGAATATCGCAGAATTGTTGTACTTTCATTGGGTTCCTTTGCTGCTGACAATGAATTCAAGCAGAACCCATCCGACCTCATGTGCAGCTAGGTCTGCAACTGTCAGGATGGGATACCTGCGGCACATTAGATCAAGAAGTAGAGTCTTCACCAGCCAGCTTGCTGCGGCTTCGATGTTGCCATGTCTCAATCTGCGGCGTTGGGCACGCTGGTGGGATGTCAGGGTCGATCTGCACCTGCACGTTCTGTACTGCCACTCGCGCTCTCAAACTCTAGGCAACAAGTGCGAGAACACTATGTGGGTCACAAGAGTATCAACCCCGGCAACACAAGATCCGACAGGCAGGTGTGCTTGAGCTGATAACGTTCATGCCTCGAAGCTTCGTTTACTCTTTCCGAAATCTAGGCAGTGGGAGAATTCATGCCAGCCGCGTGCTGATGCAGTCCCAAGAGCAGTGATACTTCCCCCCCGTGGTGCTGTTGTCCCGAGCCTGGCTTGTGCCCGCCATGCCCTAGACAGCCTCGCTTATCGCTAGCTTGGAGGGCGCAAGGTAAACTGTGCAGAATTGCCTGTTCTTGAACACACAAAATATTGGGAACTCCACATTGCTGCCTCTGCTTCAGCGATGACTTCGGCGTCGTCGACTCTAAGACGATGCATTTTGCACATTTTGGTTTGGGAGTCGGAACGCATCTGGGCAGGCGGCAATAGTGGCGTTTTATGCAGCAGTTCAGATCTCCAGAACTGTTGCAGCACCATGTGTGCCTCGAGCGGAGTGCGTGCCTCTTTCTCGTCATCAGCATGCATCTGGAAACACCAGCCAGTCGCACATGCTAGTGGGACCAGTCGGCAGCATAGCCCGGCTTCCCCATTCACGCCTTCTGCCAGATAACCGCATCACCCGAGAAGAGCTGCTCAAGCTTGACCTGACATCTGGCATTCGTCGCTGAACGGCTTCCCACTCTGCACACATTCTCGCTAAGCATTCAAGACCACCCCCGCTCCATGTGACGAACATGACAGTGAATTGTGTATGTGTATGTCAATCTGGGAGACATGCAACAATGCAAACTGTCGATCAAGAAGGTCAGTGGGCAATCCAATACCGTGGCATGCAGGGCATGGCGTGCTGAGGAGTGGCACCGATCTTCTGGTGTTCCGCAACTGGAGATCATGCTTGCTGAACTCCTGAAGGCTCCATGCACGACGAAGACCAGCGCAACAGGATCCCTCCCACGTAACACTGCACCCCCCTAATTAATGCATGTCGTCTGGTTATGCCTGCTTTGCGCCTGGGGAATCCTCAGGAGCACGGACATGTATTCAGGCGAGGAATCGGGGACTTAATGGATTCCCGACAAATGCAATGTGAAGCTGATGCATACTCTCCTTCTCCGGTTCCGGGCTGATCTGATTTAGCGGCGGTAAGACGACGGCAACATGGGGGTGGCCTGGTCTGGCCTTGTCCGGGGTGCACTTCTGTTGGATGATTTGGTTGCCCAAGGGCCCGATCTAAGTCTGGTCTCTTCGCACCTGTGGCCACAGGTGTGCCATGGATCGGCTGTCCCGGGGATTACATTATACCATCAAGCCCAGCAGAAATGTATTCAGCAACCCCTCCTCCTGCATACAATCCAATTCTCCTTGGGCCAAAGCGGAGCAGCCAGGCAGATGACCAAGAATTGCCCAGCGTGATACAGCAGGACCCGACGATATAAGTATAGAACGGATCCGATGGAGACCGCCTGCATCTGCCTGCACTTGTGTGCCTTGTGGATGACAGCCCTAAGTTCAGCGGGATGCCGGGAAGGCTAAGAATCCGTGGTGCTTTGATGCTGTCTGGATCGCCAGTTTTGGGTGCTCCCAGTAAACCGGGCACCGCCACAACACTGCATAGCCCCCCCCCTTCTTACACTGGGCCATGCATGCTAAAGGGTTGGAATGTTCCGGAGAACTACTGGTAGGACTGACTCAAAGAGAAAGCCGCGACCCCGACCCGTCGATGGGCCCAATGGTTCTGGGGCCAAAGAATGCATACAGATTTCATTCTCAAACATGAGGGATCGGACTTCTCAGAAGGACGAAAACAACGAAACCCTCTCCCCTCGCAGACTCCACAACCGATTGGCTCCCATCCTCAATAGCCGCGGTGCGCACTATTTCCGATCACGCAGATATATGCATATATTATATGTATGTAAATATATATATATATATATATATGTTATATATTCATTCTGAATTTACCCTGGGAACCTGACATGTCTTGTACGGGGTGTTTGGCAGATGGTATAGCTGGTTTCTACACCCACTTGAATACATTGCGGCGGCCCCCGGAAATGCATTGACCCTAAGTACACCCCCCTGAATACATTAGTTGGGCGTGCGGATGCAACAAAGATGCGGCGTGATGCAGTCCTCCCAGCAGCTCCATACATCTGCCTCTTCTGGAGGCGGTGCTACCTGCGATGCCGAACAGTTCATATCAAGAACGGTAATAGCTTAACAATGTAAAAGCGGGCCTGCTTGCTGCGAATCATGCGCTCGAGCTTTTCAGACATCCAGCCGTCTGCGACCATCCGCATCAACCTCGGCCGTGGCTTTTCATGGATACTTCCGAGCTGCGGAGTTGTGCCATACCCAAGGCCTAAGGCACGATCGTCTCGTGACTGGGCAGGTAGTAGCAGCCAAGAGTCACGATCCTTTCGTCAACACGAACGCGATGGTACATCTGGCCAAACTCTTTCGAACCATCATTCATCGTGGTCTTGCCTCTTTGTCTGAGCACAGAAGTATTTGACCACCAACATGGTCACCTCCACGAATACGTGGCAAACGTCCGAAACAAGCGAGTCCGTTTTACGCGGCCTGCACGCTATTAGAGGGCTGCTTGCTGTCAACCAGTAAAGGCAAATCGATTTTCCGCTGGGACCTGGGGGTGAATCTAGTGTATTTTGGAGCTATCATGCCCTGGAGTCACTCTCGCCTTCTCCTCGTCCCAAGCCGACAAGTCGTCAGGCTTTTCACCCTGCCAGGAGAAGAGCAACGATGCTCGAGTGCGTTGATATGCATCGGTAGCCGTTCGCAAGTGGGCACGGAACCAAGCGCACTGCACAGCTTAATACGAAGAAATACATGTGTTTGCTTGTCTGCGTGTATGTTCGCGTTTGCAGTTGCAGTCACAGACATCCACTCTTGCTTACATCCATACGCGCTTGCATAAATACAGCCATACGCACAGTCGCACATTCCTGTGCATACACAGCGAAGGCGGAGCCACCCAATCCAAGGCTTTACAAAGAAAAAGAGTCCGCCCGCAGGAGCAGTGTGGCCAGCGAGTCTCGAAAGAGCCGGCGGCAGCGGGCACGAGGGAACACTTCACAACTTCAGGAGGACTTTCCAGTGATAACCGGATGTTGCCTGAGCTCCCAGAGAGGGAGATTGCAAATGATGAGATGCAAGGCCTCATGGATGTTGGGGCCTGTTTAAGAAACATGAACGACCGGGATCGCTACATGAAAGGGTGCGGGCTTAGCAGATGTGAAGAAGCGGAATCGCGAGCATGTGTATGTAATCAAAGGGGAAGGAAGGTACTTAAACCTGGCCGAACCCCTAAACAACCAGGGCATCTAACAGCAAGCCCTGTTCTCTTTTTCCTTGAGCCA